TTGTGTCTTGTGGTTAAATTATACTGTGTCTAATAAGATGCAAGCTCTGATCGAAACTTTTCCTGTGGTTGAGGCATCTATCAGCTCCTTTTCTCTCCCATGAGGATTTCCTGATGTCCAGTAATAATATTTTGCTCATAATGAAGACTTTCTTTCAGCAGAAAAATAAGTAGGGCCACTCAACTCTGCTTGGCTACCAACTTTCACTAAACACAGAAGAAATTAATGCCAAGCTTCCTTCATCAAATAGTCATCAAATCCAAAAGTTATAGAGCACTGGAAGACAGGAGCATAGGCAGCATGATGATAACATGCATTTCTGTATGAAAGCAGGTTGAAAGTGCAAGTATCTTGGGTGCACATGTTTATGTCCCAGACCAAGTTTTCCCCCATATGCAGATTTGTATACAAAAGGTGTGTTCTTTTTATAAGTAAAAGAAATCCTGTAGTAATAGTGGGGGAAAGAAATCCAGCACAGGCAGGTCAAGAGAGGAGAGTAAAAGATCTGTGAAACTGTTACTGAGTGCAGGTAATTCTGGTAATAATGTTGAGCAGACAGTTTTTATAAGATATACTGATGTGCTTTTACTGGCAGTAGAAAACCGATGCTCTGAAAGGAGTACAGGAGTAGTGCCTTGATGGTTTATTCACAATATGAAGAGATTTTGTTTTCCTTATATGAACTCTTAAGCCTTATCTTTGAGTCAACCATCACTGTACCAACTTTCTAGCCTTCTAGCTAAATATCCTGGGATAACCTTCATCAGCAAAAATAAGGCCTCAAATAAATAAATCATAATTCCTCACTCTTCAGGGGCTCTCTCTTGCTTTATGTGAACTCTCCTTCAGTGGAGAACAAGGTCTTCAGGGCAATGACAAAAGGGATAATGGAGGACATCTTCTGCTTCAGCCTTTCCTTATGTCTATACTGAAGGAGACAGTCATCACTTCAGCATTTTTTGTCTTGGAAAAAAAATTCTCCTTGCTCAGCTTTTGCTTGAAATGGATTTACTATGAAGAAGAGCATACAAAAAGACAAATGGCTGCATTCATTTCTAAAAGTACTTCAGTAAAACATCTCTACAGCAAGGGTAAAGGCTGTACAGCCAAACCTTGCCAGCAGTTCCTCTGCTATTGCAGGGCAGCAGTGGCACTGCCCCCATGCTGTTGTCTCTGCCAGATCACCCTGAGGGTGATTTTACTGAGTGTGGATGAGGCCACAAAGACCTTCCATGACAAGACAAAAGCAACACCAGGGTCCTGTTTGCCTGCTCAAACATTGATTTAGTGTATGCTTTAAAAATTAAAGTCATCTGATGAATTTAAAGATGTGTTTCATTTGCTGAGACAAACTTTTACAATGGGGAAGGATTAGCAAACTTGAAAGAATATGTTTGCCATAAGAGTTTCCATAATTAACTGAGTCTAACAGATTTTGGCTACGTTCCCCAGAAAAAGCACTAGAGGTCACGCATATTGCAACTATGGTTTACCTCAGCCAGTAAAACCAATTATCCTTGACATCCCTCTCTTCATTGTTTTCTAGGGAGACCGTTTCTGCTTTGACTGTTGGCTCATGGCATCCGGCTGGGAGGTAGGCATATCTGAAAGTCCTTGAGATGAAGTCAGAATTAGTTTACACAGGGACGCAAAAGTAGCCCAGCAGAAATATAAAGCTCTCGTCTTCAGCTCAGCTCTGTTGATGACACTTTTCTGTTCAGCTTTCTCTGAGAAGCAGGAATCTAACGAGTTAAGGAGTCTGCCAAGGTCGCAAAGTCAGACTCTGTTCCTGGGTATGAGAAGCATTTGCATTTAGGCATGCAAATCCTCTCTCCAAGGAATCTCAGGTGGCACTTGGGTCTCCATTCAGAAACCTTTAAAGAGCGCCTGTTACAGCACTTGATACTTTCTGAGATAACCACATCTTCCAGTATCTCCAACAGGGAAGACCAAATGGGATCTTTTAAATATCACTTACTTAAACCTAGGTGGCCCCACTGGCCCAGAAAGGTCATGAATAAAACTTAATCTTTTCACATAGTTCCCACTGAGGTTTTAATACCATTTGTTGAAATGAGCACCTGAAGGGCTCTGCTTTTCATGTGCTGTCTGCAAAGAACCAGCGAGCACCAGTGCCAACCTCCATACACTTTGATAGTTCTCATCTGACTAGAAGCCCCTGCCTCCTCTTCCCTGCTTGATCTACCTGGACTACCCAAGCCATGAGAGGACTCAGTCAGCACAAGTTTTCCATGTAATTTACCTGAGATTTTAATTACCAGACAAATCAAACAGCAGAGAGTTCAGGCAACACACAATCCACTTGGGAATTCACCACCTGCCTGGTTCAAAAAGCATAAGCAAAACCACATTGTTTTATAAGTTTCAAAAAGAGAAGGAAGATGAAAAACAGTAAGCATCTGATTTCTTTTGCTTCTAGCATATATTAATTTCTACAGTAGCTGGATTTTAACACAGCTACTATATCAAACTGCAACCTTTCAGTGGCTCAGACTGTTGCTTTGGGTTCATCGTTTCATTTTTCCAGAGATGAGACTGACAGAATCTTGTTTTGTTCTGAGAATACAGCCCATCCTATACAGTTAAGGACCCTGTGGGAAAAAGCATGTAAATGTCATGAAAACAGAAGGAAGAGGAAAATTTATGTAACACAGACAACTTATTTCTGATATTTTGTTCTTTTCTAGTGCTTCACTTGCAAGCTAAATAATGTAATTTTTACATGCAATTCCACTAAAGAAAAAAAGTGAGGGAGAGAGTACTGGAAAACTTCATAAGTAGTCATCAGGTCCCAAAACCTTAGATCCACAGCACAGCCTACGATTGTCCTAATCTGCTTGAGCACTTGGTGACAGAGTAGAAGGCTATTGTCTATATCCAGCCATGGGAAGGACATGAGACAGATCTTTACCAAGTACATTTCAAAGCTATTATTTGGTAGACAGCAAATGACATATGAAAGCTGGGAAAGCACAGTTCAATCACAGAAGAAAATTGTAATTTTTTTTTATTTTTTTTTTTTTAAACTCTGTTGTTCTTGTTCTCCCTGGCTCCTCTCTCCATCCCCACATCTGTTCCCACTTACTCTGCCCCATTTTCTCACTGGGAAGAATCAGACAATCTTTACTGCAGGCACAAGTATCCATTCCAAGCGTCTTTGAGGGAGTACATACTTAGTCATGCTTCTACTCTACTGGATGTCCTTGCCTTACATGTTTCCCAGGCCTTGACTCAGCAAAATACTTTAGCAGGGACCTCACTCTACAGAAGTGCTTAAATCCCCAAATCTCTAGCATGCATTTAATTTTGAGAAGTCGTTCCACTCAAGCTAGCAGAAGTGCTCTGTTTCTCACTGTCTTCTCCTAAATTGGGGCCTGAGACCTGCATATGGCACTTACTTTTGACACCAAGAGCCAAAAAATGCATATTAATGGTATAACAAATATTAAATATATATATAGTGGCAAGAAAGACTGTTATTTTCCCCACCTTTTTTCAAGGTGCACTAATTAGAAATATTCTTCCTCCTTTTGTTATATACTCAAAACTCAGAGCAAGACATTACTCAGCTGGCTCATGAGACTCCAGCTGGGTCTCTGTGTGTCCCTTGAACCAGGGAGAATTAGTGAGCCCCTGGGGCGCTCATATTGGACATAAAACCTTGTTTCTCACTCCTTCACTGACCTTCCTCTGGGGAAGGCTCCTTACCCTCGGCCCTCTAGGTGGCTCAGGTGTCCTTTACAGACCAAAGCACACCACAACTTCCCTCATGGAGGGGGAAAAAACTGCCTGAAAACATGACAATGCCTGTATTGCCTATTCCTTGTAGGTAAATGATTGTGATCCATGGGAGGAATAGAGAACTTACATGGATGGGGGAACAACATCGTAAGACCAACAGACTGCTACGCAAAATGATGACTTAATAGGCAGTGCCTGTAACCATGTGTTGTATTAATTAATTTAAATTAATGTTTCAACTACTAGGAAGATTTTAATTCTGTTGTAAATGGCAAGTGCTCAGTGTGCAATGAAGCAGATAAATGTAGAAAATTACTGCTCCACAAGAGAACGTTGCTGTTAGCTCTTCTTTTTAAGGGAAAAGGAGCTGACATAACAGGACAGGACATTTCCCACTCAGAAAACATGCATGCTCAGGCAAGCTGCAGGACTGTGTAAAGCAGGCAGCTGTGGAGAGATGAGTAAGTCCAATCCATTCAGAGATAAAACAACTTTTCTTTCTTTCTTTTTTTTCATAGGATAGTCTAATGTGGAAACTGCCAATCCTTCTCCTCTCACTACTTCTTTGATGTTCATTTGCTTTAAATTTTTTCCCCTGTGATGAACAACAGAGATTGCCAGTAAGTATTTGCAAGCTCAGCAGCAAAGCAGAAGGAACAGACTATTTGTTGTTCAGAATGAATCCTTGAAAATTACTGCCTACAGTCATTCCCTTCTGTTTGCTTTACTGTTACAGGATAAAGGCAAGCAAACAAAGTACAATGGCCATAGCTATAATAATAACAACTCATTAATGTAAACTTCTATTGGAGGCTTGTAAGCCTGCAAAATATCACTCTGAAAGGGATACTGAAAAAGATGCACTTATTTTCTCACAGCCCATCCCTTTTTACTTGTAGGTATTACTTGCAACTGATGATTTTTTTGTGTTAAATGTCAACACTGTTAAAATTACCACCAGAACAGTCAAAGTACCCTGTCCATAAGGGTCACATATTTAGGGAAAAATGCAAGAAGAGAGTCAGAGTACTACAAGATGGTAATATCTTCTCCAGACACACTCCCCGTCTCAAACCACTACATATGTTGCACATGCTGCACACAGACAGCATAACCTTCTCCTTCAGAAGGCATCCATCCTGGAGTCCTTCCTTGAATTGGATTTTCCTCACCCCAAGCCAACGGCGGGTGGCGGCACTAGATGGCACTGAAAGCCCTGCGGTTTGGGCAGGTTTAGGGTTATTTTGGGCTTTACGCGCCACCTGGTGGTATTGCCCACTTTTTCTTGCAAAGTCTGGTTAGGGCCCTGTCACTGTCAGCCACCACTTCCCACGTTTTTCAGTAACTACGTTTCAAAATACAGTGCCATCGAGGTTTTCCTAAACTGAATAGTATTCCCCCTCCTTTCTCATTATGCTTTTGAAAAGGAGTTCAATATGCAATATACTTACCAATTCTGATTTTTGGCCAGAAACATTTAATCAGAGAAAGTTTGGCTTACAGGCATGCATGCGTTGCCAAATGCAATCCTGCTGCTGGACGTTAACTGCATTTCGGTGCCCTTTTTTCCATAGCCCTTTGGCTTCTCCTCCTTCATGTTTCCTTCTGAAAACTCAATCAAATACGCAGGACAAACCTGAAAGACTGCCATGTCAGGCAAGAGCACAAAGAATACCAAAGGCACACAATCACATATCCATATAGTCTTCCAACCTTACCCCACCCACCCAAAACATAGAAAAAGAAAGAGGAAAAAATAGAAACAGCAAAGGATTGGTCCTGTCCCCAAAGCCAGGAAAGTATCTAATCATCCTTCAAGATGCTGCACAAGAATGCTGATGACCTAGCAAGGGTTTTCTCCCACACAAGTTTGCTGAAAACCTGCTCATTCCTGACACTTAGTTTGTTTGGCCTAAAATATTTTAGTAACAATTAACATCTTATTTCATGTCCACGGAATGTGTCTCCTAGATAGAAGTGTGCATTATTTGTGTACTCTAGATTCTGCTTTGCCATTTCCTGGACAGCACCCATTGCCAGGCTGGAAGCAGTGTGCAACAGGTATACACTGAAAAAGAATCACATTTTGAGACTTCTGCACTACTGTAAAAGCTGGGGAAGGGGGCTTCATTTCAGTCTTGCTCATGTTGAGGTTGACAGAGAAAGTTCTCTTTCACATGTTTACGATCATAGGGTAGACTTTGTCTTTTGCTTCTACTTTGTAAACTGATGATGAAACAAGAATTTGCCAGAGTGGTGTGACAAGGAGGAGTCCACCCTGAAAGGCAGAAGAGCTAACTTGTTCTTGCTGGCATTACCGACAGTGGCACACCAAAGCCAAAACTCAGCCAACAATTCAATTACACTGTTATCATCCTACATCCCACTGCCTGGGGGAAAGGATGAAGGGGGGTGGCAGGTATATACTAAGTCATAAGGTGGGCAATTCTGCAAACTGCCAGACCAAGTAGATTAGCCAGGGGAATTCAGAAAGGAGTGCAAAACAGTTGACCTACCTAAAATGAATCCTCTCATCCACATAATGAAGACAAAATTTGCATTAGAAATCCATACAGCTGTTTGGAAAGGGGAAGGTTGCCCTCAGGGACAAATCCACTCCCTAACACCCAGCCTTAGCATCTCCCTTATGCCTGGCCAAGGTCCTCCCCCTCATGAGGAAGAATCCTCCCCCTGAGGCACCTAAGCAACAGTGGAGCAATCCTGAGGAGGATGCTTTATTAAATTAAATGTCCTCGTGGGAGGATACAATTCAAGGGTTTTTTCCCCTTCTTTTTTCCTTATTTTTTTTCCCAAATTAATCTCCTTTCTCAGAGAATATGAAAGTGCTGCTTTTGTGTGGCACAATTCAAACTGAACTTTGTCTCTCTCTTTTTAAAGTTGAATATGCATAAAAAGTAACTGGTTTCCAAAATCAGGTTGTCTCTTCTTTCAGGTCTGATTACTCGCTCCAAATTCATCATTAGGATACTGTAATGTGGATCCGTATCTTAAGCAGGACTAGCCAGGGAAAACAATGAGGAGTGTCCTGCCTAAATTAATACCACAACATGTCCCATAGAAAATAAATAAAAGATAAATCAAGCCAAGTCAGTTTCATTTAGGCCAAATGTGGGAGGAATTTGGTCTTGTTCTATTCTAAAAGAAATGAATATAAGAAATATATCCTAAATAATCAAGACTGGCAAATGTTTTGTATATAAGTAACCATGACTACATCCCTAAAATACAGATGAGGATTTTTCAGAGCTTTAATATCAGGTTTCCTATACAAAATACTCAGCAGAAATTCTCAAGTACAGTATTCTTTACTTTTTATAGTTAGCTCTTTTTTTTTCACTTCAGTCAGCGTAAGCCCCTTAACAACACACTCCTTTTGCTGTCCTGTTGTTTGTATGCTGATGAAAGAACCACATATATAAAACATCTCTGTAGCAACCCCTTAGAAGGTCTCTATTTTTGTAGAGTAAGAAAGAGCTTTAACTGGTGGACGTGGCAATTACTTAAATATTGTTCTGTATACTGTCCAGATGCAAACGGTATAGTACAGTTATGGTCTGAAAAATGCTAAAAATAGTAACATGGGGCTTGGTATTTATGATCACTTAGTGACTTAACAAATATTCTTGGGTTGAGTTTTCTTAAAGCTGTTTTTCTAACCTCACGTAGTACAAATTCAATATAGGATATAATGGCCAAGCTATATTAGCCCAGTGTTTTACTGGTGACAGCATAAAGAAGCAAAAGACAAAGCTTCACATCATGATGCCTCTATGCAGCTTCAGTAACAGGACTTTGCACTGATTTTGCATGGGTATGGACACCACCATGCTTACTTCCTGACTGCATTTCAAGCTTGGGTCTCACCACATGCTTAAGCTCAAATTTGTTTCACATCTAAATATTTGAGTACTAATATCCAAAAATGCAGGATCTTCAAACAAGCATAAATTTGGAGCCACACTATTCCTTATCCCAGATTTAAGTATGTGCCAACCCACAGGCTGTGTTACCTCATGTCAAATTATCTGCTCTTATCTCCATGCAGCAAAATTACATGGTCAGTACAATGCAGACACGGTCAGTACAATGCAGACAAGTCAGCCTAGGAACCTTCTAAAAAAGGCTGTTGCCTGCAGCAAGACAGTATAGGATAAGTAGGCTGCTGAACTGTACTTTAGAGACAGAACTGCAGTCACACAGATGAGAAAGTACATGTCATTTCAGGCAGCTTTCTGGCCTGTGTGCCAGCAAGTAAAGGAGATGCAGTCTATCTGTCCCAGAATTTCATGAGTCTTCTTAGAACAAATGCAATCTCTGTCTCTGGCTTAGGTTACACATAGCAAAACTGTACTTCAGTTAGACAACTGACATGAAAATGTTCCTGATTGTGGCACAGTCAGGGAGCAGATTTAAGTAAATTTCATTCCTCCCCAATGGCTCATTCCACCTCTGCAAGACAGTCTCCATTCTGTGATCATTCTTTGCATAAAACAGAAACATTAGTCAGGATGTCAGAAGGGCTTTCCAGCCTGGTCCTGTTCATTACTTCCTTGCAGCTCCTGAAGATGCTGAGCAAAATGGCAACACTTGCTCTGAGAAAGCAGAGTGCATGAACAACAGACAGTGCAAACTCCTCTTCCTACCAAGCAGTACTCATTGTCTGTATTGTACCATGATGCAGTTATGTTGCTCAGACATTTTGCTGTTACCAAGCGTTTGGGATTGTTTTAATCTAATTTTCTTCAAGGTTTTCTTTATAGGGCAACTTCACATAGAGCAACTTCGTTATCCACCCAGTTGGGAGAGGTATATGAGTAAAATTGGCACAGATCTATAGATTGGAAAAACGAAGGGAGGACAGACCTCACCTACTCATACTGCACAGAGCTCTTATTCATGTAAGTAAGGTCGCTGATGAAGACAGGACTTTAAGTTACTTACTGAGAAGAAAATTAGTATCAGAAAAGTAAACAGAATTACAAAGTTCTTGACTCTCCAGCTTTGCTGAGACCCACAACCTCTTTCTCATGACTCCTCTAAACATAAAAGTCACCTTAACTTTCTTTGGCACGTAGAAATTCTAATTTGTATGAGACTCCAGTGACTTGCCTCACTGGTGTTTTAGGGCATAAATACCTCTTAAAAGAAGAAAAAGGTCAGATTCATTAAAGACTTCACAACTCTACTCATGACTACCAGGCTGTTGCAATGTAATGACTCCAGGAGATAGGTCTACAGTCCTAGTGTTAAGGAATGCAATTTGAGCCTTTGCCGGTACAGACATGTCACTGATGCTACTAAAACAAAACTTGAGCTAAAATTTGTTTCAAGTCTTTACTTGCTTGCAATGGAAAGTTTGCTGGCAGCTGTTGTCATCATTAGCCTTGTGGCGATGTTTTTTTCTGAAGTGTCTTGTGTCTTATTGAAGCTTAATGCTTGTTAAGTTGGGAGGGGACTTTGGGTGATCTGCCAACAGCAGACAATAAAGTGTTCTCTTCTCCTGTTGTAACAGAGTCATAAGTTTTGGTTTATGGATAATGGCAGCTACACACAGTAAATTAAAACACACACAAAAAAAGAGGAAAACATGTGGGCTTTTCTCTAAATAGTCCATTTAGACCATTACAGGCTCCCCTAGGGCTTTAAATGCAATTGTAAAAACACCCTGGTTTTTCACCATTAACTATTTTATTTTCCTAGTAGGCTAAGAGTGGGCATTTTTACAGCAATATCCCTAGCCATGGACACCAATTTTATAAGTTTTGAGCTCGATTCCTATCACCCCACTTTGCTGTGGCTCCCCAGAACAGCTGTGAAAGCTATGGTCTGGAGAATGCCCCCTCCTCCCTGCCCAGCTCTTTGGGAAAGAGTAGAAATTCATCACCTGCTTGTACTCTGTCCTCTGGTTTTGCCTGCCCACTATGGATTGTTGGGATGGGTGGTGGTCTAGTTATTAAATATGGGTCAGATACATCAGCTTTATCCTGTAAACTGACAGACAGCTGTATCTCAAAGTGTGCCAGGAAGCCCAGGAAGGAACCACTTAAGCAAACCAACCAGTCTAAAGCAGACCCAAGTACATGGGTCCTATATAGTGAAGTCTGTACATGTGGCTTCAGGAGCTATGTCAGGGCCATGGGACTCACTTCAGGACATTTGATAATTCACTGGCATAAAACACCAGAACCAATTAAGCCCACCAGCTTCAGTACAGAGGCCTTCTAATGTGTCCTGCAAGCAGATCAGGAGGTACTGTATCACCCTATGGAGTCACACAGCAGCCTCAGACTACTAAGCTTAGGTTTAGGTTCATTATTATACAACAGGTCCAGTGAAGGATAATCAGATCATGATATTTAAAAAGCAACCAGCCACCTTCAGCAGAAAGAAAAAAGCTAGAAGTCCGAGCAAGGAGCAGCATGTTTTGACCTTCGATTGTGGTTTTCCTTGTTTGCTCAAGTTGTCAGAGACCTTGAAGTTACATGGAGCAAGCACGGCCAGAGACTGGCATTGTTCTAGCAGCATGAGGAAATTAAACTGTAAAATAAATCTGCAAAATGTGTGTTTTTTTAACACTGAGCACTGTGGGATGGAGATGTAAGTTAAATGGGGGATCCAGTTCCTTACAGTGACTCCAGCTCCTCAGGGTGACCTCGGGCCATCCACTTCATCTCTATCTTTTCTCCTCCTCTGTATAACAGCCATAATGATGATACACCAGTGCCTTACCCTTTTCTGCCTCAACTCCTCAGGCAGTGAGTTGCTGGCAGTTGCGTGCATGCACACAGCCCAGCACCACTGGGCTGGCAGTGCAGCTCGTCACAGCTCTTACAGCAGCAAGAAGGTGAGCAGCACTTCTGTGTCACCCTGTGAGCAAATGCATAGCAAGGTTCACTGCCCCTGCCATGGTGCAGGTAGAAAGGCAGCAGGCAATAACTACTTTCTGCACACTTAACAGTTTAAAGGAGGTAATTGCCATACATAACTTATACCTTATGGGCAACTCAGGAAAGTGGAATTAATTAACTATCTTGGCACTTGGCCTTGATTCTACTACCAGCGTGTATTACAAAACATATAAACATCATGGAAGTGACAAATAGATCATAGAACCATGATCTATTTGTCATGCTGTGCAACAAATCAGGTAAAGTACTACAGAATAGGAAGCTAACATCTTTCCTCATGCATGCTCTGCCTTACAGAATCATCTCCTCCTGTAGGGATCAGAGGCAACAGCATTCCTGCTATTAGATGCCTTTCAGTTACAGAGGGACAAGAAGCATAGAAATAAAATTCCACTTGTGCATCTGCCTTTCCTAAGCGGCCAGCACAAGTATTTCACTCAGTTTAACCCTGGAACCTCAGACCCAGCCAAAAGCCAGATGAGCCTCCCTGAGCTCACTCAACTGGTAATCTTTTGCCAGGTTCTCTGCACTTGCCTGTTTTCCTAGCTTTCTTTCATGGTACTTTAATGTCTTTTTATCTTCCTGCATGATAAAACTAGATAAACTAATAGGAAAAAAAAAATAAGAAAAAGAACAGAAAAGATAAATTAGCATTTGTAACAACAATCTCACGAATTTTTCTGGAAGGCTTATAGTCTGACCTTCCAGAGACAAAATCCACAGGCTACCAACAGAATTCTTCCTCCTGTTCTGACCAAACCATTTACATAAAAATGGGCAGGTTTTTTCTCCTAGCATCAGGATTTTCTGAAAAGTATTTCACACATCAATTTGTCCTTAGGTATGGAGATAGCTAGCCTCCCTGATGGAAGTGAAAAGGTCCCAGCTGAGCTGAGTCATCCCTCAAAACTAAAGGTAAGGTAATGGCTGCTCAAAATTAGGCAACCACCAAGTTCCCAGGCAGAGAACTCATAAAAAGACCTGCCTAAATGGCTGTCCCAAGATAGGTATTATGTCCTTTTGCTTTTGAAGTATCTCTAAAGCTCAGGTTGCTTTCCTCTGGTGCTAGAGCAATAGCATATGTATTTCAAACATCAGTCACTGCTGAAAGACAATGAACAAAGGGCCATGCAAAAGAGAGGAAAGAACAGAGAGCCAAATTCTCTCAGGTCACATGCCAGGTGAGATGACAATAGTTCAGGCTGCTCACTTGTCCAAACGAGGCCCTGCTGCCATCTGCCCACATATTTCTGTCTTTCCGGTGTTGCTGTCACAGCAAGTCCTTCATTCTTTTGAAAAAAGCCACCTGTACTATTGTATGTGTATTGATTTGGTTGATTTGCTGCCTAACTCTGAGCATCATTAATCTGATACAGAGAGCACTGCTTGAAAGGCTTTGACTAATATCAAGTGTCACCCCTGGCTTTAGAATACAAAAAGTACAGATAGCACAAACTAAAGGGCCACATTCTCCTGATTTAACTCTTACAACCTGTCTAACAATTGCCATAAGGTGATTATTCTGGAGCTGAATCAGAGAAAAATCTGAACTGAAACAGAAACAGTAAAATGTTGCTTGGATAAAGATGTTTTCCTGATTTCTGAAGCATGCTGCTTGACTGATACTGCTGCAAATGCTGATGATTGGAAACATTCAGGTTCCTGTTTTTCAGATGTTAGAATTGTGTTGCTTCTCTGAAGACTGCAATATGCTCAGCAAAGGTGCAAATCACTTCCTCTATGCAAACAAGATTAAGTTATCTTCAGAAAATATGGAGATTGCTTCTGATCAGTACTGGTGAAATGCTTCATAAACAGTTGGGTAACAGTACAAATCCTCCTGAAAGTGAGTATATTTAGAGTAAGGAGCAGCAGGCATTTACTTTCACGAGGAAAAAACTTTCAAACTCAAACCCAAGCCATCAGTGTTCTTGTCTGAAATCCTTCCCCCTTTCCTGCACTCTGTTCATACTTCAGTTGCTCTATCTGTTGTCATCCCTGCTGTTCCCATGCCCTCCTTCCTCTTCACAGACTGAATGCTACCCCTGGTGTCAGCTGCTACCTTCTCCAACCCTGGCCTCAACAACTCTTGTCAGCAACCTCAGCACAGGGTGCTGCCCTACAGCCAAGTGCTTTGGAGTGTGGTCTGTGGTCCCCTGTGGGATTTTCAGCACTGTCTCTGCTCCCTGTCTTCCTACCACCACACACATATGCATCCAGAAGAAGAGGTGGACTATTTCATTAGGCCAGCTGAAAAAGGGAGGGTGCCAAGCCCCCATGCAGCAGTGCAACAGAGCTTTCATAAGCCTCAAGCAAGATAAAATGTAGCATCTTGTCCAGCTTTCCTGCCCTTCATCAGTCCTAACATCCTCACTCCCAAGGGCTCAGTCTAGTTTCTGTGTCATGCGTATGGCAGCGAGAAACTCTCATGGTTTTACTGAAACTAAATAATAGCTGAATTCTCAGTAATTCTGGTGTCCCTTAAAAGAAACTTCACAAGGCAATTCAATGCAGTGATTTTAGTCCCAGCAATAAACTTCTTATGTTAAAAATGGTAATTTGATCTGTATGACAGAGGCTGGGCCAGATCCTGACTAGGTTTTAAGCCAACAAGGCAGTAGGAAGCTAGGGCATGCTTGAGCTTTCTCTTTCTTTCACAGCCCAAGAATGGACTGAACATGGTCTAGAAACTTCGATAAGGGAGACAGGGAGAAACCAAAGTGACTGTTTTCAGTTTTTAAACCAATTCCAGTACCAGCTGAAATCAACCCCATGAAATACACTGATACCAGAATGTCTTTTTTATTTTTTTTAAATGTGCATTGCAAAAATATTTCCTGAAGCAAATCCACCTGCTATTGCTGATGGGTAGAGTACCTATGACAAAAAAACAACTTATTTCTGTCCCTGAATTACTGTTTTTCACTGATGCTAAGAAAAGAACCTGGAGATTAACCATTGATAAATGGTTTATATTTCCTCAAAGGTAAGTTTCCCTGTTTATGCTGCAATTCAGGCAATCAAGCCTCTGTCAGATTGTCAGTAACGCGTGACAATAGCTTCCTGTAACAAACAGGCCATGTTCCAGTATGCACATTCCACTTGCATTAATCCTTGTACTGCTTTGTGCTTAAAATACAGGAGGCAGACGCGATTGGAAAAACAACAAAGATATCATCTGAGCAGTAAGTATGTAAGTGCAGATCTCTTAGAAAACCAGCATCGCTGACACTGGGCTGTCCTAGGGGTTCTCAGCATGTAGGTTGGATCTTAGCACCCAAACAAAAAGGATAAAGTAACTCACATGTGCAGACAAAACTGAAGATCTGAGGGTTTAGCCCCTGCTGCTGCAGTGAAGAAAGTGGAAGTAGTAGATTGCTCCTGCAAGGAGAGATAACTTCTCCCTCCCCTCTGCTCTCACCCCAAAATAGCCACCAGCCATCTGTTTTGTTGGCTTTTACTGAGGAGCATTTAGGTATCTAGCTGCACAGGGGAAGCTGCAATTGTCTGCTTGGACAACAAACATTCCCTGTCCCTTCCAGCACAGACATTTAGGCAGCAGGATCCTTGCCAGCCCATTTTATAGGACCTGTTTTATCCCTTGGTTCTGTATGCCCCCACAGAATAGAGACAATTCCTGGAAGAGCCCTAAAATACAAAACCTAAAGAGCAAACAATCACTGAAAGGAGAAAGCACATCAGGACTAATTCTTCCCTCACCTACACTCAGATCACCCATTTCAGGCTGGAAAACAAACTCGTGTACTTCATTAGTGAAGTATTTTGTACCTTAGTATATAATGAGTATGTCTGCCCAAATGGTAGCATAGCTTAGATCAATACTTTAGATGTGGTTTAACACTTTATGCTTTTGTTTCAGTGCCTTTTAAAGCGTAACTCAAATATGAGTCCCTGATACTTGTTCTTAGAACTAATTTTACTACTGTATTTGCTTGAATATGAGCCAGGAGTAAACTACAGACACGAATATCAGAAGAAATATATGACCGGACATACACACTGTTTGTTCACTATTGCAATCATACTTTAAATCGCCAGGGGTGGGGGAAGGTGTTCTCTGAAGACTTTCAATTAGCTCACACATTTTCATTTATTGAGTTCAAAATGGGTTTGTTAGACAGTATTCTTTGGTGTCTTTTAGGTTCCTATTTGCTGCCATTTTACAGGGCATACTGCCTGGTCCTGACTGTGTATGAGTCAGCCGAATTATAAGAAGGTACGTGGAGAATCTGCATTTGGGCCAGCTAAGAGGAGCAATGGTTGTTACCCAGTTAGTTTTGGCTAGAAGTAGACTGGGGGAAAGGAGGAGGAGGCAGCCTTCATAAATGTCATTAATTGCAGAGGGTGCAACACAGTTATTTTTCTTGGTGTTGGGGGAAAGAAAGAATGGCTTCACTGGTGTGTTCTGATTTTGCATTTCCAGATACTTACATAAGAACAAAATCACATTGCTGATTTGCAAATAGAAACACCCAAGGCCTCCACACGGTGTAACTAGCTCAAATTCCAATTACTTTACTTTTGTGAAAGCATCTGTTAAAATCTGATTTGTTTCCTAAAGAAGAAAATACTGAGAGAACTTTCACATGGGATAGTAGGACAGTCTCTTTTAGATACCTGAATCACATAGCACCCTATTAACCTACACACTTCATCTGTACAACCACCGGTTTTAGAGTAGATACTCCACATCAAGCTTGCTGACATTTCTGCCCACTTTGTACTAATCACAAAAGAATACAAAAGAATCTTGCACATGGGATGTGAGCAAGTTTCAACAGATTAGATACACAAAGGTAACCACTGCCAAATGGACTAGGGAATGCCTTCAGAGTTCACTAGTTAGTCCATTTTGAAAGTAGGATACATTACACTTATTCCAAGTGTTTGCTGAAAACGGACAAAGGCAAAGTAGCCAGACTGCCATAAATTCGCGCCTTAGCTTGTTTCTCTTTAATTTTCCTATGTCAGACACGGTGATGAAAGACGAGAATTTAAATTGATTGCACTGAGGAAATCCAAAAAGTCATCTGTTCACAT